AAGCCTTGTGCCTTGTCCACGAAACCTTGTGCCTTGATTACGAATAACCCTTAGGGTTTAGGGTTTAGGGTTTAGGGTTTAGGGTTTAGGGTTTAGGGTTTAGGGTTTAGGGTTTAGGGTTTAGGGTTTAGGGTTTAGGGTTTAGGTTTAGGGTTTAGGGTTTAGGGTTTAGGGTTTAGGGTTTAGGGTGGTTTAGAGTTGCTTGAGAGCTTGAAGGTTCAGGGCGTCGGGTTTAGGGTGTGGGGTTTAGGGTTTAGGCTTTAGGGTCGAGGGCTGAGGGCTCAAGGTCTAGGGGCTTAGGGCTTAGGGCTTAGGGTTTCGAGCTGAGGGTTCTAGGGTTTAGAGTTCAACCCTAAACCCTCAATCCTGAAAGCCTCCAAAGCCTCCAAAGCCCCTTCCTCGCCTTCAAGTCGGTCACCTCGCGGCCCGGGTTGAGCCTTAGCAACCCCGATTGGGCTTCCTGGAAGGGTTTCGGGTTTAGGGTTTAGGATTTAGGATTTAGGGTTTAGGGTTTATGGTTTAGGGTTTAGGGTTTAGGGTTTAGGTTAGAGGGTTGAGAGGGTTGAGAGGGCTTAGAGGGTTTTAGATGGCTTGGAGAGCTTAGAGGGTTTAGAGGGTTTTAAGGGTTTACAGGGTTTCAAAGGTTGAGGGGGGTCAGGATTCAGAGCCTGCAGGCGAGGATGCAGGTCAGGGACGCCCAACGGTTTAGGGTTTAGGGTTTAGGGTTTAGGGTTTCGGGTTTGGGGTTTAGGGTTTAGGGTTTAGGGTTTAGGGTTTAGGGTTTAGGGTTTAGGGTTTAGGGTTTACAGAAAATTCCCCGGAGCTCAGGTCCAGTCAGATCCCGAATCTGCTCGTTGTAGATCTCCATGAATGAAATCTGGCAGGGGACTTTAGGGTTTGGCCCTAAACCCTAAACCCTAAACCCTAAACCCTAAACCCTAAACCCTTGGGGTTTAGGCCGGCGCTTAAGGCCCCGAGAGGGCCGCACATGCCATGGATCCCTCGCATCCTGGAAAGCTGACAGTGAATTTAGGGTTTAGGGTTTAGGGTTTAGGGTTTGGGGTTTAGGGTTTAGGGTTTAGGGTTTAGGGTTTGGGGTTTGGGGTTTGGGGTTTGGGGCTTGGGGCTTGGGGTTTGGGGCTTGGGGCTTGGGGCTTGGGGTTCAGCTCTCGTGCTTCAGGTTGAGGGAGTACGTTCACGAACCCCGTTCCAGGGTCCAAACCACAAACTCGAACAACCCTGTTCTGCATTGCGTTCTCATATACTCATTGTAGCTTGGCACCCTAAACCCTAAACCCTAAATCCTAAACCTAGGGCCTCCAACTATAGAGTAGATACCAAGACGGGCCCATTATCTAGCACAAACCCTCATCTGGACTCCTTAAACCGCTTGTCAGGCTGGGGGGGTGGGGGGGGCTAAACCCTAAACCCTAAACTTAGGGGTCCCGTTTCTTGGGCACCCCCAACTGCACAGAACAGGTACAATAACAGATACCCAAGAAGGGCCCACGATTTTGATCAACCCACGTGTTGCTCCTGTGAGGCTCCCCAAAACTCAACACCAGTAATGACAAGCCCCAGAATCGGATGGAACCGGATTCCATAATCCCGAAACCCTAAACCCTACACCCTAATCCCCTCTCCCTGAAACCTCCAACACTGCATGTCAGGCTCCAGAAACGGTTGTTGATCCCTGTTCGGGGAGCCTCACCTTGAACGCCAAAGGCACGTAACCTTCATAGGGCCTCAAAACAAGCCTTTTTCCTCATGCCCCGGTGGTGGTGGGTCCGAAAACTCTAAAGCCCAAACCCTAAACCCTAAACCCTAAATCCTAAACCCGACTCTAAACCCTCCACCCAGAGAACTGTGCCGAAGGCACCCAAACCCGAAGTTCGTCATTCTTGAACTTCATCCGGTGCTGGTGGTATAGGCCCTGCGGTGCGGACGACATTGTAGTAGTGCTCGGGTGGAGGGTTTAGCTAGTCGATGGGTTGATGTTGTGGTTAGCACGGTCAGGGAAGAGTTTTAGTAGCTATTTTGGCTCTTGCTGCAGCGTTTGGAACTTCAGTAGGATAACAGAAGCCGTCAGATGCCGTCAGCACATGGAATAGAAACCCTGGTGCAGAGTTTGGTCGAATTGTTGGGGGATTCAAGGCTCCTATGCTGCCCTACACCCTCAACCCTTAGCCCTAAGCCCTAAGCCCGAAGCCCTAAGCCCTAAGACCCAAACCCTCAACCCTCAACACTCAACCCTAAACCCGAAACCCGAAACCCTAAACCCGGCCTCCAGCACAAAGGGAATCAGACCCATCTGCTTGTCTTTCGCAGTGCTGTTGAGCGTGTGGGTCTTCCCTGCTCCTGCGATACTTGGGGGGAAGGGGGGGAGGGGGCTGCCGAAGGACTTTGGGTGTCGAGTTCTCTGGGGTCCATGAAGGTTCGGGGGTTTAGGGTTTAGGGTTTAGGGTTTAGGGTTTAGGGTTTAGGGTTTAGGGTTTAGGGTTTAGGGTTTAGGGTTTAGGGTTTAGGGTTTAGGATCTAGGGTGTAGGGCTGAAGGACTTAGAGCTGACAGTCGGGATCCAAGATCTTCGGCTAGTACAGCGACTCAGCTCAGATAGCCTCAGACAGGTCTGGAAGCCTAGCCCTAAACCCTAAACCCTAAACCCTAAACCCTAAACCCTAAACCCTAAACCCCCAAACCCTGAACCCTGAACCCTAAATCCCCCTATGGGTGGATAAGAAGCCAGGTCTTTTAGGGTTGAGGGTTGAGGGTTTAAGGTTTAGCGTTTGGGGTTTTAGTTCGGCTTCCGAGCCTTAAGGTTTCGGGGGTTTTAGGGGTGCAGGCTTGAATGCCCTTTCGGTCCCATTTTGGGTGTGTGGAGTTGATTGCAGTGTTTCGGGTTGAGGTTGCCTTTGGGGGCACACCCCTACACCCTAAATCCTAAACCCTAGACACCATAAGGGATGCCGGGGTTCAGGGTGGCTTCGGGTTTAGGGTTTAGGCTTTAGGGTTAGGGTTTAGGGTTTAGGGTTTAGGGTTTAGGGTTTAGGGTTTAGGGTTTAGGGTTTAGGGTTTAGGGTTTAGGGTTTAGGGTTTAGGGTTTAGGGTTTAGGGCTTAGGGTTTAGGGTTTAGGGTTTAGGGTTTAGGGTTTAGGGTTTAGGGTTTTTTAGGGTTTAGGGTTTAGGGTTTTTGGATTTTTGGGCCTTAGGTTTAGGGGTTCAGGGCTGTGGGCCGCACCCCAAAACCAAGGCAGGCTTGAGTTCTCCGCCACGGTCTTTTTCCCTCCGGCTCCCACTCCACAGAGGCTTCAGCAAAGCACCCTAAACCCTAAACCCTAAACCCTAAACCCTAAACCCTAAACCCGACGCCCTAAACCCTAAACCCTGGAAGCTAAACCCGAAGCCCTAAGCCCTAAACCCGAAACTCCCAGAGCCCCGCAACCCTAGTTTAGGGTTTAGGGTTGAGGGTTTAGGGTTTAGGGTTTCCCTCATCTCCCAACCCCGAAGCCCCCAAACCCAGCACTGCGATCTCGCCACGCGCCCCAAGGCTTCTAGGTGAAAAGAGCAGCAGACCCCAAAATACCCTCAACCTAAACCCTCAACACCCTACACCCTCAAAACCCTAAACCCTCAAAACAAACCCTAGAACTCAAACCCTACACCCTCATAAACTAGAACCCTCAACACTTCAAACCCTCAAAACCCGAAACCCTCAAAACCCCAAGCCTAACCTCTAGAACCCTCTTCAAAGCCCTAAACTCTACACCGAAAGCGCCAAAAGACGGCAGCTCGAGGCACTTGCCTGGAGCAGCGTACTGCAACCGCTGGGGTGCAACAGTCGAGGCTTTGGGGGCTTCAGGGGCTTTCGGGGCACTTAAGAGTACTTAGGTTCTCAGGGTTCTTAGGCTTTAGGGTGCTTAGGGTTCTTAAGGTTCTTAAGGTTTAGGGTTCTTAGGCTTCTTAGCGGCTTTAGGGTTCTCAGGGTTCTTAGGCTTTAGGGGGTTCTTAGGTAGGGGGTTCTTAGGGTTCTTAAGGTTTAGGGTCCTTAGGGTTCTTAGCGGCTTGAGGGTTCTTAGGGCTCTTCGGTAGAGGGTGTGGAAGCCCTGTTGCGAAACTGGAGACAGGGCAGACAGATGCTCAGAAGCGGTCATGTCATGAGCGGTTTAGGGTTTAGGGTTTAGGGTTTAGGGATTAGGGTTTAGGGTTTAGGGTTTGGGGAGTAGGGTTTAAGGTTTAGGGTTCAGGGTTTAGGGTTTAGGGTTTAGGGTTTTGAGCCAACTTGACTTTTTTCGGCCCTTTAGAGCTTTACCCAATTACAGGGTTTAGGTTGGTTGGTTATTGTAGTAACTGTCGGCAACCCTGAGCCCTAAACCCCAAACCCTAAACCCTCATTAACCCTAAACCCTAAGCCCCAAACCCTAAACTCTCATCCCTGAGCCTTAGGGGGGATATCGAGTCCTAAACCCTAAACCCTGAACCCTGAACCCTAAACCCTAAACCCTAAACCCTATTTGTCCGGGTCGGCCTGCGAGAGACGCAGGGTTTTGGAGGTCTCAGGGTTTGGGGACTTCGGAAGTTCTAAGTAGGGACTGAGGGGACGAGGTACCCTGTAGAATCCCTTGAGGGGCATAACGTAGGGCCCACATTCCCTGCTAAGAACCGGGGGGTGTTTACAGTAGGGGAGAAGGGGTCTGAGGACTTGAGGGGCTTATTATAGTTCTTGGAATTTGGGGTTGCAGAGCTCGGGGGTTGAAGAGTTTGAAGGCTCGGTCAGCTCCAAGTCGGGAGTTTTCTTCGTTTTGCTTTGGGCGCTCTGCTGGAAAGAGAACTCTACAAGGAAGGCTCGAAGGGGCCCGATATTCGGAAACTGGGAAATCTGGGATGCTGCCGAAGACTGGGCTGCGCCCTACGTAGACAAGCAGCCTTCGGCTACCCAAGATCCCATCGCCCCCCCGGCGGCCACAAAGGCGACACCTCAAGAGCTCAAGAGCGCCAAGAAAATCACAGCCGCGAAGCGGCAAGCCCAGCGCAGGCCTGCTGGATGGCCGGCACCTGCACACGGCGTCTCGCCAGGAAGGCGTAGACGTGACCCCCCGGCTGCCACGCGAGCTCGCGGCGCGCACTTGGCTTGCAGCACCGGCTCGTGAGCGCGAAGAGCTCTTCCCCATACTCGGGCTTTACAAAGGCATCATTCTCGAAGCTCACTGCATGGAGGCCGGCGATCTTGCCCTGGGTTCCTGCATCCTCCTGGCCTTCCACAGATTCGATGATCTTGGAGAGGTGCGTCTTCAGGAGTACCTGGAGAAGACGGTCGCGGGTCTCCTGGAAGGGCTCACCGTCGGCCAGGGAGGACCACTGGATGTCGTCCTGCAGGAGCCCGTCCACGAGCACGGCCGGGGTGGCGGAGCCTGCGTAGGGAACGGCCAGGACTTGCGCCGAGGGCTCCCACCTGGGGGTCTCCGAAATTAGGGGGTGTCCTTCTTGGGGTCTTTAGTATATGGGAATCCTACTCTTTGGGGACCGTTTTCTGGGGGGTCCCCCTACTTTTCGTAAACCCCCAACCGGGAGGCGAGAATGGCCGTGAGGCAGGTCATAGCGCCACCCCAGGAGTAGCCGGAGACGCAGATGGGGACTCCCGGCCAGGCATGCACGCACCAGCGGACGGCCAGGGCCGCCTCCTCCACAATGGCCGTGCTTTGCTCGAGGTACATTCCGACGGAGCGGATGTAGTGCATCTGCTGGTTCTTGGGCTTCCGGTCGCCGTACAAGGGGGCCGTCAGGATCAAGGAGCACATCGACGTCTTGGCAAGCTCTTGGGCCAGGGCCGCTCGCGCATCCGCCGTTTCTTCTCCTGTGGCCGGGAGGAGCACCACGATGGCCGAAGGGCGCTCAACGTCCGAGGGGTCCCTGGTGGCCTCCCACGGTCGGATCTTGGCCTTGCCTTGCGGGGATTTAACAAATGGGGGGGGGGGAACCTTATGAATCAGGGGTCCTTATTATTTTTTAAGGGATCCATAGTATTTGGGGGTCTCTATTGGGGTTTAGGTTTTAGGGTTTAGGGTTTAGGGTTTGGGGTTTGGGGTTTAAGGGTTAAGGGTTAAAGGTTAAGGGTTAAGGGTTAAGGGTTTAGGGTTTAGGGTTTAGGGTTTAGGGTTTAGGGTTTAGGGTTTAGGGTTTAGGGTTTAGGGTTTAGGGTTTAGGGTTTAGGGTTTAGGGTTTCGGCCTTCCTCTTGCGGGGACACGAAGAGGAAGTGGGCATCCTGCGCCTCCTCAGGCAGACGCCCCGCCTGGGGACTCCGGAACGTCGCACCACACACGTTTCCTCAGTAGCCCAGTCACCATAGTATAATAAGGGCACCCCTTTTTTAGGGTTTAGGGTTTAGGGTTTAGGGTTTAGGGTTTAGGGAAAGTAACGGAACTTAGTAGCCCAGGAGCCATATTATGATGAGGTAGCACCCCCTTTTTGTGAGTTGGTTACTTTATATTACTTTATAAGGGAAAAGTAGCCCAGGAACCATATTTATAATAAGGTAGCACCCCTTCTTTTAGTTGGTTACTTTATATTACTTTATAAGGGAAAAGTAGCCCAGGAACCGTATTTATAATAAGGTAGCACCCCTTTTTTAGTTGGGTACTTTATAAGGGAACTTAGTAGCCCAGTAACCATATAAGGGAAAAGTAGCCCAGTAACCGTATTTAGCACCCTTTTTTTAGGTGGTTACTTTGTGAGGGAAACCCCTTGTTTTAGTTGGTTACTTTATGAGGGAAACCAGCACCCAAAAACAAGGGCAGAAGGCACCACGGGGCTACCAAGCTTCCACGTGCTTCCGCCCAACGCAGGCTGGGAGGCGCTCCGGGCGTGCGCTGGAAGAGCTCGCTTTGCGCTGCTTCCGCCGCCTCGAGGTCGCCCCAGCCGTCGGCGAAGAAGCGTGGCCGCTGTGGCCGAAGATGCGTGAGGGTGTATGCGTTATCCAGGGCGCCAAGTGCCCAGCTGAAGCCAGACCACATGGAGTGCGAAGCGAAAGACGACAGGAAACGGTCTGGACAACAGCTCACACGGTACTTGAAAATGGCAAACGTTTGCAGCGGGCAAGCAAAGATGTGAGCAAAGATGGAAGAACGGGGACTGAGCCTATCACACGCAAACCGATCTAGATAGCAGAAGTCTCGCGACCTAAACCCTAAACCCTAAACCCTAAACCCCAAACCCTAAACCCTAGGGCCCCCCATGACCCGAAGCTAGGAACTCGCTGGGACCTTGAAGCGCAAGATAAAATGCGAAGACCCTACTTGGAGGTTCATGGTACTTGATAACCAATTTTACCTGTACTTCTATCCCACTTATAAGCCCCTTAAGTGCCCGAAGATGGCAATAGATGCCATGAACATAAGTCCCGTTATAATTGGCTAATGCATGCCATGAACCTCCAAGTAAACCCTCAATAACTTAAGCAAAAACTCGTGACATCAACTCGGAGACCACGAGCATCCAACCCCCCAAACAAGAGGCGACGCAGGGAGCTGCGGCCGAAACAACCCTAAACCCTAAACCCTAACCCCTAACCCCTAAACCCTAAACCCTAAACCTAAACCCTAAGCCCTAAACCCTAAACCCTAAACCCTGAATCCTGAACTCGATGACTTTTAGGATGCTTGACGTTCACAGGCCTCCTAAACCTTAAACCTAGGATGGCCCTTGAAACCCTCTCTGACAAATGTTCCTGAATATGATCCTCTTAAACCTGATAAGGGCGAAAACAAATATGTGTACGTACATCTATATATATGTATGTGTATATATATGTGTACTTTAGATATATATATATATACACATTATTATTGTTATTGCGTTTTTCTTTTTATTCTTATTCTTATATATATATATATATATATATATATATATATAGATTGTAATATATATATATATATGTATGAATATGTCCAAACCCAAAGCCCGAAACAAGCCCCCGCACCACCACAAACCCCCAGTCCACTGAAATTCGGGGGAGCCAGGGCGGCCTGGAGGATTGGCGCAAGTCGTCGCCGTCTTTTCCCCTGCCTGAGATCGGCACAACACGGACCCAATGCCTGAACCCTCAACCAAAAACCCCTAAACCCTTAAACCCTAAACCCTTGAACCCTTGAACCCTTAAACCTTATGAACTCTAAACCCTTGAACCCTTGAACCCTTGAACCCTTAAACCCTTGAACCCTAACACCCCTGAACCTCCAAACCAAACCCTCAACCCTAAACCCTCAAACCTTGAACGCATAAACCTCAAACCCTCAACCCTAAACCCTCAGCTCGAAGACTTTGAGGATGCTTGACGTTCACAGGCCTCCTAAACCTTAAACCTAGGATGGCCCTTGAAACCCTCTCTGGAAAATATTCCTGAATATGATCCGCTTAAACCCCATAAGGGGCAAGAACCAATATGTGTATACATATATATATATATGTATGCTACCTCTTAAACCTAGGATGGCCCTTGCAACCCGAATCCGCACACCCGGGCCTGTTGAAGCGTCGGACGTGGGGGGGGGGGGGGGGGGTCGGGTTGTCAAGGGTTGGGGGTTTGGGGTTTGGGGTGTAGAGTTTAGGGCTTAGGGCCTTGAACCCCTAAGCCCTCAACCCTCAACCCCAACCACCGCCAACCCCTTTAACCAGAGCACAGTGTGGCGGACTGCGCCACCCCGAGACTCGGCTGCCATGGCAGCAGGCGCTTAAGGGATGCGAAGGTTGCTTACTTATTGTCCGTTTGGGCCCAAAATTGTTGGGGGTCTTTGGCTGCAGGCTCAGGAGAGGGGGGGGGGGGGGCTATGAGAAGCCGTGGGTGCTTTGAAATCCGGTGGTTCCGGCTGGAGGGTTTCGGGGGCTTCATGGTTTGGGCTTTAAAAGGTCTCAACCTGATCTCCCCCACAAAGCACGATTGCAAGCTTGGGCCACAGCGGACATGCAACCCGACCTCCCCACCGAAACCCAACTCCAAAAACCTGAGAACCTACAACCCTACAGCATTGCAACCTTCAAGCGTGGTAGAATGCCTTCAGGAACTTGAATGAGTGCTAAACTCTAAACCCTGAACCCCCCAAGCCCTAGACCCGAAACCCTGAACTCTAAACCCTAAACCCCAAACCCTAAACCTCAAACCCTAAACCCCAAACCCGAAACCCCAGACCCTAAACCCCAGACCCTAAACCCCAGACCCTAAACCCCAGACCCGAAACCCCAAGCCCTCAACACCAAAAGCACCCCCAAGCCGAGCCCTCCGAAGCCGGTTTGCGGGCTTGTGGTCTGGGGCTTAGGGGTTCAGGGTTTTAGGGTTTTAGGGTTTTAGGGTTTTAGGGTTTTAGGGTTGTGGTCTGGGGCTTAGGGGTTAGTTCGGGTTTTGGTTGGGGCTTGGGCTTCAGGGTTTTAGGGTTTTAGGGTTTAGGGTTTAGGTTCAGGGTGCTTGGGTTTGGGATTCCGTGGGGTGGAGGGTTGGTTGCCCGGTGGAGGGGGGTGGGGGGGGGGGGAGGACTCCTGTCTGGCCATAGGCAAACACGCAGAAGTTGTAGCCTTTGAGCAAGTTCCTCAACAGCGCCGGCATCGAAGGAAGAGAGACTGGGGGGGGGGGGGGGTTCAGGGTGTCGGTTTTGGCGTTGTTTTTTGGGATTTCGGATTTAGGCGTTTGCGGCTTAGGGCCGTTTATAGCGGAAGACGCGCTTTTGTGGCAAGGCCTTCGAGTTCATGTATACGTATATGTACATGCATATGTATATGTATATGTATATGCATACGTATATGTACATGTATGTGTATATGTATATGTATATGTATACGTATATGTATGTGTATACGTATATGTATACGTATACGTATATGTATATGTATACGTATATGTATATGCATATGTATACGTACATGTATATGAAAACGTATTTGTAGGTGTATGCGTATACGTAAATGTATAGGTATACGTATATGTATACGTATACGTATATGTATATGTATACGTATATGTGTATGTATGTGTATGCGTATATGTATATGTATACGTATACGTATATGTATATGTATATGTATACTATATGTATATGTATACGTATACGTATATGTCTACGAATCTGTATATGTATACGCACCCCTTAACAGAGCCCAACCCGCCATATAGGGGCACAAGCAGACATCAAAGATGGCTCTTAGGGTTCGGGGCTTAGGGCTTAGGGCCTCGAAGGCCTCACAGCCCGAACTCAAAAAACCTTAAACCCTAAACCCTAAACCGTAAACCCTAAACCCTACTTTCGGTTCCCGGTTGGGGGTTTAGGGTTTCGGGCTTAGGGTTTAGGGTTTAGGGTTTAGGGTTTAGGGTTTAGGGTGGAGGTTGGGGTTGAGGGCCACATTTCTGGACGAGGCGCTCGAGACAGGGCTTTCCGATGTCGCTATTCACCTGATCCTGCGTCGGGGGCTTGCTGGGTTTAGGGTTTAGGGTTTAGGGTTTAGGGTTTAGGGTTTCGGGTTTCGGGTTCTGGATTGGTATGTTCCCCCTTGTACTAACACTCCTTCATAGGGATTGGCAGGGTTTGGCGCAGGGTTAAGGGCTCCAAGCTTAGTTGACCATAAGAAGTTCACAGGCTCAGAGAGCTCAGGGAGTCTTGTGCGTAGGGAGCCTTTTGGGGCTATGGGTTTAGGAGTGGCTGGAAAGGACCTTAGACCCCAAACCCTAAACCTTAAACCCCTAAACCCTAAAGCCCCATGGGAGTCAGGAAAACAAACCCGAAGATCTCCAAGCCCTAATACGGATATAAGTACAGTTATGAGTACAGCGAGAACTGCTTAAAAAAGTACCGTGAACCTCAAAGTAGGGAACTGTCGGGTTTTGGGTTCGGCGGCATTCAAGGGATGCTTTGGGGCTTCGGGCGAAGGACTGTTAGAGGGATCACGGCTTCAGGGTTTTAGAGTTTAGGGTTTAGGGTTTAGGGTTTAGGATTTAGGGTTTAGGGTTTAGGATTCAGAACCCAAAAGGCCTGAAGGAACACCCCCCCCTCAACCCTAAACCCCCAAACCACCTACCAAGACCCTCCTTCCTACCCCCCCCCCCCTCCCTAGGTTCCTGAGGCCTAAATATCCCCGAAGTAGCCTTCAGTGGGTAGTATAGTAGGGGAACCCACCAAGACCGGCCTGGCTGGCATAGTGCACATCCTTCGGATTCACGCTCCAGTACGCGTGATCGAACCTGTGTAGAAGGCAACCATGCTTCGGCCCCTAGACCCTGGAAACCCTAGAAACCCTAGAAACCCTAGAAACCCTAGAAACCCTAGAAACCCTAGAAACCCTAGAAACCCTAGAAACCCTACGAAACCTACGAAACCCTAGAAACCCTAGAAACCCTACAAACCCTACAAGCCCTAGAAACCCTACAAATCGTATGAACCCCATCAACCTGACAAACCCCATGAACCCTACAAACCCTTATAAACCCTATAAACCCTATAAACCCTATGAACCCGATACACCCGGGATTGAAGGGGGTTGAAAAAGGATGGAATGGAGGCGCCGTGATTATGGGGGGGTTGAGGGCTTAGGGCTTACGGTGGGGATAGGGTTTAGGGTGGTTTAGGGTTTAGGGTCAGGGTTTAGGGTCCTGCGGGTCTTCTACATGGAGGTAGACGCTCGAAGGGCTTCTCTTGGTCCCCTAAACCCTAAACCCTAAAAGTAGGGCTTCTCTTGGTACCCGAAACCATAGGCTTTAAGGAGCGTGCCAAGAAAAAATTAGAGCCCAATCCACCCGAAAACCTTGAAGAGCAGGGTTTTGGGCCTAACCCTAAACCCTAAACCCTAAACCCTTGGGAGTTTCGGGGCCCCCCGAGTCAGGGCTTGGGGATTAAGGGGTTTCGGGTGTTTAGGGTTTAGGGTTTAGGGTTCAGGGTTTAGGGTTTAGGGTTTGGGTTTAGGGTTTAGGGTTTAGGGTTTAGGGTTTAGGGTTTAGGGTTTAGGGTTTAGGGTTTAGGGTTTAGGGTTTAGGGTT